GCTCTGTGCCACAGTGCAGTCTCTGCTGCCTCTGCTCAGGGACTGCTACCTGGCAGTGAGACCTCAGCCAAGCACAGAGCCTTCCAAACATCAGTATGCTGAACGAGTGACAGTAAGAAATAACTCACTTATGTTCACACATTTTCCAATCCCAGATTCTACCTTTATTTTTCACAAGCTGTTTATTTTGTGCAAAGCAGAGAGGCAGAGCCAGCAGTACCTCTGGAAGGCCGTGCTTTCCGTGAAGCTGGGGGGGCCATTCACCATGTACAGCCCTTCAGACCCTCTCACTGCAAGACAAAACAAACAGCTCAGTTCAAACGATGAAAATGGCCAAAGCACAAGTGTTTCTAACCTGTGAACCCTGAGACAAGCACACACTTTCCCCTGCATGCTGTAAAGGAAATCCAGGACATTATGCACAGAGTCAGCAGGGCACTGTGGGATGGTGCTGGGGCAGCACCTGGAGCTCCAGTACAGCACAGGGCACCTGGGGCACCAGCTCACTGCAGACAGCTCCTCTGTGCAGCCAAGGGCTGAGGGAGGGGGCACAGCTGCTTCCAGCCATAGCCCACCCTCTGTACCCACACCATCTGCTCCACTCTGGCCAACACAGCCTTCCCACAGGGCTGTGCCAGGAACCAGCCCACCCCTCTGCCACACAGCACTGGTGCCAGTGCCAAGGGGGGAGCAGCAGCACTACCAGGGCAGCAGGACAGACCCAGAGCAGGTGCATGGCTCAGGGGATGAGGTAGGGGTAGCCCCCCAGCCCACCCTGCTCCAGCAGCTCACAGCCAGGAGGTTACTATCCCCCGGGCTGGGGACCTGGAGCCTCTGAGCAGACTCACAGTGAAACAGTTTTTCTCGTCTACATGCAGTTTCCTGTGCCTCAGGCTGAGCCCATTGTTGGTTGCCCATCCCGGGGCACACACTAGGACAGCCTGGCTCCATCCCTTGGGATGGTCCCACACCACAGAGCTGCTGCACCTACAGGAGGAATGTGTGGGAGCACATCCCACCCCACGACTTACTCAGCTCCCAGCCCTGCTGCAGGAACCTCTTCCATCCAGCCTGGCTGGCAGAGGCTGGAAATGCCCCATGGCTGCAAGAGCACCCAAGGTCCTGCACTACGGAGCTCCCAAGGGCTGCCTGGATGCTCCCTGGGGAGGGGATTAGCTGCCTCCACACAGGACCAGCACTTGCCAGAGAAGATTACAGCAGGCTGATATTTCTGCTGACACAAGATATTTGCCCTGTTGTTAGTCTCAGCATCGAAGCTCAGCTTGGAAAACAGAAGACATGGAAGAGATGTCAGTATGAAACATGTTCCAGATATCATGTTCTGTCGGGGACATCACCAGGAAACAGGGAAAAAGCACAGGTTCATGCACAGCAGGTGTGCAGGGAATTAAACACTGTTTTGTTAGTTCCATTACAATCACGTAAGAATGCAAAGCTAAGCCCCAGAACAGGCCATTGCCACACAGGCACGTGCTGTGCTGTACTGAGGTGACAGTTTCACTGCCAGACATGACTGCAGGAGCTCGGGGAGAGGTCCCAGCTGGGTCTGGGGTAGCACAGGGTGTTTGGTGCAGGTGTCACTGCACACAGGACCCACAGGCAGATGAATCAGCCCCTGGACACAGTCACAGCTGCCCCAGACTGCCACAGCCTCATCCCGTTCACCTCAGAGCACTGCAGAAACTGACTGATGGAAAACACCTCCAGTAACAGTTTGCTGGATGGCAGAAAATACTATTTCACTATACTTCAACATTCACCTGCTCCACACCTCATTGGGGTGCACCATGTCCCTGTCGGACCCCAAGGGACTCTGGTAACACACCTGGAACAGGACCCGGGAGCTGTGCCCCACCTGGACCCTGTTCCCCAGCTCCTCTCACACTCCCCACTGAGATCCACTCTACAACACGTTACGGACAGCGATGAGCAGCCCCAAATCCACCCCGAGCAGCTGCAGCCCCACGGACCCAGGGAAGAATCACCGTGCAGGGCTTAGAACGCAGAAACGCAGGACAGGAAAGATACACAAGGAAAGATCCCTTGTGTCAGGGGCAGCACAGACAGGGACAGACTGGAAAGGAAAGGACGCCGAAAGGAGTTCCACGAGTTCCAACGAGAGGCTCACGGGACGCAGCGCACGTGTCCGTGGGTGAGCTACCGGGAGCAGATCACTGCCCGCCGGGACAGTGCCGGGGCAGCCCCGAACGGC